TTCGTGAAAGCACAAACCAAAGCCAGTTAAATGAGATGCAATTCCCTCTGGCGTGGAGGGGGTAAGATCGCAGGAACATGGACACATAAGCTGCAATTTAGTGGGGCTTCGAATATAAGTATATTATCTGAGTCAAAGATGTCGCGAAGAGCAAGAACTGTAGGTAGAGGATTCACAACACTTGGCTCTGCAGCTGTCTCTTTGGAAATCAGCGATATCAACGTCAGCATGGACAGCTGAAGTGCCGAATGACCTTGAGACCCCCCCCATCTTTGGGCGAATTATTGACAAGAAAACAGATGGCAAATGATCCAATGAGGGCCACCATTTAGATCCTTTTATAGTGTAAGCTTCACATGTTCACAAGAAGCTGGTATTCATGGACGAAGCGAGATAGACGCCGCAAAGGAGCAAAACAAAGATTGATGCTCAGCCGAACGCTTAATTCCTAGCGTAAACACACTTACCTCTTAAAAAGGCGAACCATACCAATACCCACGCCATAGCCATCTACATAGCCCACTGTCATTCAAAGTATTCCTCAACAAGGACGTTCAGGATACACCCGGCATAACGGCCCAGGGTGCATACGCCGACGAGAACTTCCATTCGACTATCGCTAGGATGGTGTGTTGCATCCAGGAAGTGTTGGTTGCCAACAACGCCGCTAAAAACACTTTGATCGTAGCCTGCGAAATAAACCATGCATTAAAAGAAAAAGTCTCTCCCGAAATATATAGACATGATATTGCTTTCACATATTCTTACCGAAGGGTATACACGCCATTTCGTAGGCGATGGTGATAGCTGGTTGAAGGGAAAGCCCTCCCCAAACATCTCAATCCTCCAAAGTTGGCGAACGAGCACAGTTGCCGTGATGAACTCTTCAGGGATAGAATCGGCCTTTTGACACACTACGGGCGCCATCATATCCCTCGTTATACGCGTGCATAAGCCCAGTTAATTGCGCGGTGCCATCAAATGCTTCAATGCAGGCGCAATTAAGTACTCTCATTGTTGGCAAAGGGGAGAAATCCCAATAATAACGAAACATTCGTTCCCATGTCACACAAACCTGCCCGCATATGGTGATACAGAGACTCACCATTGGATAAAATATCACGGAATATGTCGTACGCGTGCGTCAGTCCAACTTCAGCACTCATAACGCTACGTAAGGTCGATCATAGGAAACTATAGCGAATTTTCATTGCTGCGGAATATAGATGGATTCGTAGTTCAGTCGTCTGGGTCGAGCGCAGGGGAGCGGAAGACTGAATCCTGGCGGAAATAACAATCTAAAGAAAAAATGCCACCTTTCCTTTATTGAGATCTTCTCTTTGTTTCTATAGAATACTGTAGTTCGTAAACTCTCTAGTAGGCACTGTTCTTTCAAACATGATATCGAGTTCCTCGTAAGTTCGACCTTTAGTTTCGGGAACGTAAAAATAAGTCCATACAAAACTCATGGAAGCAAGACCCTATGGTCTGAGTCAACAGAAAAATTTTCAAGCAAGAGTTTGTGAGATGCCTAAGTACTTACGCCAAAAATGAATCCTATTTTCCCTCTCATATTCCCGGCATCTGGATTAATCATGTAAGGAATCATGACAGTGATGACTATGCCCAGAATAGCTTGTATAGCTGTTGAAATAGCAATAGTCTTGCCACGAAGCTTGGTCGCCGAACATTCACATAGAATAACGAAACACACTGGTCCGACGGAGAGGTTGTAAATCAAATTCCACACCAGCATCATGGAAGTCTGAACCCAGGCTATCGAAGGACGTTGCATATAGTTGGGCACGCAATCCAGAATGCCGATGATAAAGAGAATTGCGGCGAGTCCAAGCAGCCCGCTACTATAGATCACTCGGCGGCCGAAGTATGCAAGGAGAATCCAGGATAGAATGCATCCCAGAAATCCCACCCCTAGTAAGCTGATCTAGGAAGACATTTAAGCTCATTTGCCGTGCATTGGTGAAATAGATATAACTTACACCCATATTATATGCATCGTCAGTAGAAAGACCAATCACTATTAACAAAATTTAGTTGAAATCAGTTTTCAGTGGCAGCAGGCATCACTAACGAGTGAAAAAGTAGTTGGAAAACCCAATGAGATAAACCCCGCTAAGAATCTGAATGCTATACACTCCGATAGCAATATGGGTGCGACGAAGGTTGGATTTCTTGAAACAATCACGGAAGGTAGTCCCTGCCTCCATCTGCTGTTCAAGACGATCGGTTTCAATTATCATTGACTAAACAAACTCACCATTCAGCATGCTGGCATACCCATGAACTTTGTGATTTCTGGCTTACCAGTGTTGGCTTGACGTCAACGCTAGATGCTGCGAGCCTCCGAAGCGAATTTTCGGCATCTTGCAATCTTCCCCTCCTGACAAGCCACCATGGACTCTCTGGGGCAAAGAAAACCCCGGCAAGGATCACGGCAGGCCAGAGCCACTGGGTCGCAAAGGGAGCACTGTAAGCCCAGTGGCTATCTAGCCCGTGAGTTGCAGCGGAGACTCCGTTGGCGATGAACTGACCGATAACAAAACAGAGATTCACATAAGCAGTTAAAATACCACGTAGAACAACGGGACACACTTCCGAAGCGTAGGCGGGAGCAATGACTGCGTACGTGCTAGTATGAGGCCACCAAGGAGTTCACCAACGACCAGTACCTTTAGCGATCGTGCGAAGAATTGGATGAAGACACAACCGGCAGTTAGGACGACGCATATCTGAAAGTAGAGCAGAAGCGATTCAGCATACACTCGCATACACACAACTTAGATTGGGTCCACGCAGAACATACCGAAAAGATTTTCTTCCTGCCAAAAATTTCCATCGGATATGTAGCTGCTAGAGCGCCAACAACTTGGCCTATAGGACTTCCCATGCTGTCATTTTTTGGGAAAATAGAGTATCTAATAAGAAGTTGTTATCCTAAAAACACAAAGGCATGGATATGGAAGCAGAATATATGTTTTACCTAAGGCCTGACTGCCATGCAGCTGAGATGATCCACTTCCCGTTGAAAAGGTAGCCAAAATCCTGCTGGAACCTGGGAACACCGTATAAATTCCCTATGATCTGAGGGCCATAGCCGGTCATGATAACGCCGAGAGAAAAGAAGAAGGACCATGCAGCTGCTTTGGGATAAAGCTTAAGTGCGATGCGAATATCTAAGTCACGTTCTAGCGTTGTAGCCTCTTGTGCTTCAGCACCGATCTCAATCTCAGAGTTGCCGGCATTGATAGTATTCTCTGGATTCTCGGCGTCATCCTTATTGATAAATGTCATGTTGTTTGGCTTGCTAGCCCCTGTGATGTCTGATTGCAGAGAAAGACTACGGAGGGGAGCCAAAGTAGGTTCTGCAAGGAGAGGTGTGTGGCAGTTGACTGCTGCATCTGATAGCTTCGGAAATTCAAGGAGTCAGAGAAACAGGGACAGCAGCGCGGGTCCAAATAAACAATAATATCTTTTCTCTATAGACTCACAGTAGCTGGTATCTGAACCTGGCATGCTGAAACTGTGTGACCAGATGTATCTAAGGGAATGAGTAGGACATGAGAAGCCTTGGGTATTAAATAGCCAGCGGCGGGTAGGGAAAAGAAGAAGCTGCCACACGTTTGACTTATATTCAATGTAGCATTGAGCAAACTGCGTACCAATTAGCTATTAGGACTGTTCAACGACGTTCAACATTGGTCTGGTGGAGTTCCATACCGTAAGAATCATTCTTTTCACTATATTTAGCGGTTTTGGGAGAGGTCAATAGGGTATCAGTTAAAGGAACACCCGCCAATCCCGACAAAGATGATGACAGACCACAATATAGATATCCTCACAGGATGTTGGTGTTCAATTTTGCGTACAGGACTGCCATGTTCAACGCCACCAGATAAATATCCTCAGTGGTTCGAGTAAATAGTTGACTCGGAGAATGTTTCATTTATATTAACTACCGCATCTAAAATGCGCCCACATCAGGGATCACGTACATATCACGAACACAGTGGTGTCCAGAAGTAAATTAGGGCGACGAGAAGAAAAAGGAGACAACGAAAGAAAGACAACCTCTTGTCTCCACAGCAGAAGTGTGTATGCAGTTGTAATGAAGGTCGCTGTGATGTGAATGCTCGCCCCCGAGTTAATTCGGCGGCTCCGGCGCGGGATGATGTTATTTAAATAGTTAACGGCTCTGCTTGCTAAATAAATAACCAACTCTCGCCGCTGGAGCTCTCCTATCCCCCAAACAACCTCTGCACTCTCCACAGACGACAAACTGTGCACTTCTGAGGGTCTCTCAATCAAGGCATTAGCTCTCTGCGTCATATCCCTGCCTATTTCCGATTGCTCCCCGCTATTAAATAACTTTGTGCGGCGCTGGGCCTTCGTCGGATCAAAATCCTCTTCCAGCTCCATGTAGTCCAACTTTTGCTTTGAAGCAAACTGCTTTTC